ATAACTAAGTGTATATTGCTGGTGGGTCATTTTCATAGACTTCAGTATATATTTATGTAGAATATTTTCGTTGAAATACATTGAAGCAGAAAATTTCTAGTAAAATGTTTCCAAACCGGAGCTTTGGAATCAACAACTTGTTTTTGGAGTAAGTCAAATTGACAAGCCCACGAATGACCAAAACATACAGTACGTACAAATCCGTTCCATCACTGTGTGATTAGGAACTTGAAATATGATTCAGGGATGAACTATGTTAAATTCAGTTCACTTTACTTTTTATAAAATCAATGTATAAGCCGATTGTAAGACAAACATCGGGATATGTAGATAACCTTTGGTCATCCATACGTCCGTATTTTGGTAAATTAGTTTTAAGCTGATGCCAATGTTTTTTTTTATATTTCGGTGGTAGGAAAAAAACAACCACAGTTCACCACTGCAGCTTTCTTGTACAATGTGAAACGTTCAGAAGTTTAATCTTTGATTTTCAAACATATGACTTTGAATGAAGGAACGAAACGTCCTAAAAAAGATCGATTTCCTGAATTGAAAATAGATTTTGTTCAGCCCACTTTATAGAATCCCCACAATTCGTTGCGGACGGTTTAATTGAAAGAAAAACAATCCATAAAAAACTTATTATACTTTTTCATTCTCATTTGATATTACACACGAATTCTTCTAATGCAAAAATACGGCCTAATGAACATGCGTTTCAATAACCTTGCTGCATTATCGCGAAACTCGATGCCCATAAAAGCGTAAATTATAGCGTTTACTATATCATTGTTGATGAGGATATAGTATAAGAAAGTCACAGCAGGTCTTTGCGAGAAGGACAAGTTTTTCTAAAAATCTTCGTCGATGCCTTCAAGAACCCTAATTGTCACCTTTGGTATATAACAAAGTACAAATACTGTTGTGATAATAAAAACATAACTGTGAGTTTATGGGTTATTCGACGATTGACTATTCTCCGTTTTCTTGATACAGTTGATACCATATTATTTGCTACAAGACGACTTTTAATGGCCCTCAGTCCTTCAAAGTCTGTTTCAGTTTCTGGTATCATTGACTGGTTTGATGTGGTTATCATCTCTATATCTATACATTCAATATCAGAACGATTTTTGTCTTCATCAGTTATTTCAATATCTTTCTTAGCTCCACTTGTGTGATTCTTGTGTACTTTTTAGCTACAAAATGCCGTTTTTAGAATTCTGCCGTAAATGACAATAAACGACGATACAAAGACAAAGATGGATATACCAAATAGAATCGAATATATAAACTTTAGAGAAGCATGTTCTTCACTCAATCTTCCACACATCATTCCCGAGATACCATACTTTGTGCTTGTGTATGGAATGGTTCCATATACAAATGTTAACGGTAAAGCAAAAATCAAGGGTAATAGAAGTGCCAGAAACAATGCAGTTCTTTTCATTTAAATCGACGATGGAAAGTTTCACAGGCATAATACTTTCCTATATCTCTGAACTGCAATGGTAAATAATATGAAAACCGAGTAATAAGTAGTATTTTCTATAAAAAACACGAGTGTCATGCATAGAATGTTGTTTGAAAATGTCGTCTGATAGAAAAACCGAATTAAATTATGCACTCCAAGATATATTATTGCTATCATGTCAAAGAAAGCTAAAATTGGTATGAAATATCTTTCATCTGATGGCCTTTTCATCTGAAACGCATAAACCAATAAAACAAACACGTTTCCCCTTGTTCCAACAGCAAGATAAACGGAAAGTATGATAATGTTCGGAATAAGGCTGTTTGATATTTCATCGTTTCATTCTGATAAAGTTATATTATTGAGAATAGTGTTATCATTCATATTAATCTCTTTTTTCCTTGACATTCAAAACACTTGTAATTAAAATCAAGACGTGTAATGTATTAACTGTTTACTGATTTCTATGTTAACTAAAGTTAAAGTTTGTTTTTCGTAACACAATATCCAGGAAGTGTGTTCCTTTCTTAAAAGAATGCATTATTAAAATATCCGTACCCGGTATTATCATTTAAATACAAAGGTGAACCATAAAATCAAATAATTTAAATAATCAGTAAAATAACTTCACACATACACAAATAACAAGGCATACCAAAACGTAGTAATACTTAATCCTATAAATAAAAGGAGATGGGGTATATTACAATGAGACAGCAACTAAGCGACAATAAAACCAAAATACATCTACAGGTGTAACATTACAATAGAACACACTTAAATGATATTGTAGTAAAAACAAATGCAGCACACAATAATATCATCAAGTTAAGTACACATTTCTTTTAAAATAAAGATTTCATTTCATGTCCAAGTACAATTTTTTATACGTTTTATTACTGAAAAGGGAATGGTAAGTTAATCAAATATACTTACACATGGATTCATTGTAAGACAATTCTATTGCTAAGGTAATGTTTTACACAGAGAAGATACATCATAACTGTCATTGGGGAAAATTGATACAAATGAAAGACGCTTGTCTAAGACCCCAAAGATTTTTTTACACTCTAGTGTAAACAGTCCAAATATGCAATTAAAATACACATTGTCATATAAATGAAGTCCGGATCGGCATCATTATTTATATTGTCGATAGACGTAAGGTAAAAAGGGGGAAAGATATCAAGGTGACAATATAATAATCAATACCATAAGTCGAAGGAAACAGACATCACTGTGAAAGAAAAAAAAAAAAACGATAAACGCGTTACAGAAACCTTAAGACTGAGCAAAACGCTCCCCCACTAAATCGAGGAAACTCCTGTGCTCCCAAAGGGTAGACAGTATAGGCTCTACAAGTGTTATCTGTCATAAAAATCCGACGTTTAATGCATTCTAATGGGGGATGGAAGAGGGTCTAGATGGGGGGTCGTTCATTTCTGAATTTTTTTAATTTTTAGAGCATTTTTCTCTATACCTTATTTTTTTACCCATTGTTCTCTATTCTTTATATTTTACCATCCCATTATTCTCTGTTCTTTATATTTCACTATCCGTTATTCTGTATTCTTTATTTGTTTTGCATATTTTTCTCTAGTTTTTATTGTATGCCTTTATTCTAAACTGTTTGCCTAGTATTCTCTATTCTGAAAACCCCACACAGACTCTAATGGAATACTTGCAAATTGAATTATATCCCGTTAAACAAATGCAATTAATAGATATGTTCCATACGTATATGTTGCTCATTGTCGAAGGCCCTATGGTGACTTGTATTTCTTAACATTCTTGTGCTTTTATCTATGGTTGATAGCTGTCTCATTGGCAATCTTACCACAACTCCTTATTGATTTATCAATCGCCCATTACAAATGCATTATACGAAAGTAGGTAGGTTAGATACTTAAGTAAATCATAACTAATGTCGCTTGCCAGACAATATTGTTTTTATGAAAAACGAGTTTCTTGACGGTTGTAAAAACAAATGAGAGGATACTGTGTAGTTAACCTTTTACTGACTGCAGATGTTAAGCGAAAGTTATAAGTTTTCTTGTCAATTAGTAGGCCAATACTTAGAGGGAACTTTGTGGTGGCAATTCAGTCGTTGTTGGAGCATAAGTTCATTTGCGATCTTTTCTTCGGTAGAAGTTGTTGGTATAAACTTACATGATTTTTTATCTCAATTTTGATTATTGTCGTTACTGTTTACAAAACTATAAATACTAGGGATTTTCTACCCCAAAAGAAAATTACCTTAGCCAAAAAGTTGGGAATTTTGCATCCTCAAGGCTCTCCAAATTCGTACTTCATTTGCCCTTTTTAACTTTGTATTATTCGAGCGTCACTGATGAATCGTTTGTAAACGAAACTCGCGTCTGACGTATAAAATTTTAATCCTGGTATCTAAGAAGAGTTTATTTATTAATTTATCATTTTAGTCTATATTAATGTGATTTCTAATTTCCACTACAAATATTTAATCTTTTCTCATGTTATTAACTTTAACCAGCAAAATAATAGTACATTGAAAGAATAAGTCAGACAGTTAATATTCTTATTCTTCACAAGCTCGTGAAATAAAAATATACTCACCACAATAGTCATGAACATTCATGCAATAATCCTAATAGTATATTATTTGTATCTACGTTGTTCAACTTATCTTTATTTACACTATTCATTTTCTTGGCACAAATGAATGCATGTTGTTTATATTAGTATTGTCCTAGAGTACTCATCTAGTGTTTGACTAGTTTGATAAGTAATTCGTTTTATCAAAATATTATTAAACAATATTTATTTACGTTATTTTATATATTTTCCCTCTGAGCAATACCATTTTAATTAACACATATAATTATATTGGTCTTTTAGAGTTTTTGCAATTTCATCAGTCTGAGTGTTACTTTGATTAGGCTCTTTCTAATCGATTTACGAGATTTTCTGTCGCCTTAATTTAGATTCTAATACCTTTAAGTGCAATTTGACCCTGCTTTCGGTCTGTATTTATTTTAAAATTCTACTCTAGTCAGGTGACGAATACGGTGTGTCTTTGTCTGGTTATTAAGAGGTTGAGATGATTAATGGCGAGATGTAGAACTCCATGGAACCATTCTATCCGTGGAATGTATGTATCGAGTTAGGTTATCCCATCCTTCTGTTGATATTTTCTTTGTTTTCATGGTTATATAATTCTGTTGCTGAGGCAGAATATCTTTATTTTTATAAAATATTGGTCAATATCAAATAAGGTAAAATAAAAGCGATGCCTTCCAAACCAGAGTACCTGGTTTTACTTCCTGTTTGTGCGGTAGTTCGTGATCTTTCATGTTCTGTCGTGTTTGCTTTTGAGACAATTTTTTGTTACCTTCAAATATTATCTTACATGTCTGTTGTAATCATTTTTTTTTCTGGAATACTCCCTCTTATATTGCTATTTTACATTTGCCTTGGAAAGGTGAACGTCATAGAAGCCAAATTGCAAAAACCGTACTAAAAATATGTTCATCTTTATTAATCTGGATCAATTTTACACAAGGAGCTCGAGCAAACAATAAAATACACATGCAGGATACTTTATGAGTTTGGCTAAGCGATTGTACAGTTATTGAGCAAGTGATAGTAAAAATCAATATATTTTCGCATATTTACAATAATCATATTTTTAAAATACAACAATGAATATTGAAATTGTAGAAATGGAAGATTATATTTCCGAAAAGGACAAAATTGTGGAAACAACGAGAAGTTGTTTATCTTTTTTTTTACAGGTTTAATCGCTTTGTCTAACACCTTTGTCAGTTTACTTGGATCTCAACCATTGTAAAGAAAACGTTTGGATGCATATGGATTTTTATATAAACATATATATACATTTCGCATGTTTTTGTTTAAAGATTCTTAAGTAGAAACTCAATATAGTAATATGTTTGCAAATAAAAGCTTTACATTTAGCAACTTGCTATTGGAGTAAGCCAAAACTGAAAAACGCCCGAATGACCAAAACATAAATAAAACGTACAGTTCCGTTCTCATACTGTGTTAAAAGGAACATGTAATATGATCTAGGGATGAATCAAACCTGCTTTACTTCTCATAATATTAATGTAAAACCAAGCAACAAAGACATGCAATAATACAATTGACCGTTCATACATTCGCATTTTGGGGGTAACAGAGTTTAACGCTTATGTCAATAGTTCATAGTTCGGTAGTACTTTATCAATTATAGTTCACCACTACAGCTTTTTTGTAGAAAGTGAAATGAATAGAAGTTTACTCCCTGATTTAGAAATCTACGATTTTGCTTTCAGAAAAAAAAGGGAATGAACAAAGCGAACTAAAACTTACAGTTCATGAACTTAAAATACATTTTTGTGGAATATGACAGTTGTTATCTATTCGTTTGATGTGTTTGAGATTTTGGCTTGGCATTTTGATAAAGGACTTTTCGTTTTGAATTTTCTTTGGATTTCGGTATTTTTGTTATTTTACTTTTCAGTCTACTTGATAGAATCCATGTTCCCCACAACTCATTGAGAACGGTTTGATTGAAAAAAAAGCAATCCGTAACAAACGTATTATAGTTTTATCTACATATTTGATATCACACACGAATTGAACATGCGTTTCAATAAAATTGCTGCATTATCGCGAAACTCTTTGTCCATAAAAGCGTAGATTATAGGGTTTACTATATTGTTGAAAATGAAGATATGGTATAGGAACGTGACAACAGGTCTTTGTGATGTGGACAGGTTTTCCCAAAAATCTTCGTAGATTCCTTCAAGACACAGTACTGTCACCTTTGGTATATAACAAAGTAAAAATACTATAGTGATAATAAAAAACATAACTGTAAGTTTATTGGTTATACGACGATTGTGTATTCTCCGTTGTCTGGTTGAAGCTGATTCCATGTTTTGGGATCCAGGACGACTTTTAACGACCCGCTGTCCATTAAAGTCTGAATTAGTTTCTGGTATCATTGACTGTTTTGCTGTTATGCTTGATGTGGATATCATCTCTTTATCTTTACAACCAATATCAGTATGACTTTCGTCTTCATCGGTCTTTTCCATTTCTTTCTTACTTGCGCTAGTGTCATTTTTGTGTACTTTTAAGCTACGATACACTGATCTTAGAATTTTGCCGTAAATGATAATAAGTGATGTTACTATGACAAAGACGAACATACCAAATCCAATCGAAGATAAAGTCTTGATCAAAGCATGTCCTTTTTTCAATCTTCCACATCTCATTCCCGAGATACCATATTTAGTGCTGTGGTATGGACTGGTACCATAGATAAAAGGTATTGGTAAAGCACACAGAAAGGCTACGCCAATTACTAGGAATAATGCAGTTCTTTTCATAGTAGTCGACATGGATGGTGTCAGAGACATGCATACTTTCCTGTATCTCTGAATTGCAATAATAAATAATATGAGAACCGAGTAATGATTAAAATTTCCAACAAAAAACACGAGTGTTTTGCATAGAATGTTGTTTGAAAATTTCGTCTGATAGAAGCACTGAAATATATAATGAACTCCAAGATATATTGTTGCTATCATGTCGAAGAACGCTAAAATTGGTATGAAATATCTTTCTTCTGATGGCTTCTTCATCTGAAACGCATAAACCAACAACACAAAGACGTTTCCACATGTACCAAGAGCAAGATAAATGAAAAGTATGATTATGTTTGGCATTAGGCTGTTTGTTATTTCCTCATTCCATTCTGATAAAGTTACTTTGCTGAAAGTAGTGTTAATATTCATATTAATCCTTTTACCTGACACTCAAAAGACTTGAATTCAAAGATAAAGTCATATAATGTTTTAACTATTTCCATATTCCCATGAAACTAAAGGATTAAGTTTGTAACCCAATATCAGGGAAGTTTGCTTCTTTCTTGAAAATGCAATAAATAAAAATGTCCTTATGATATAATCATTTTTACAAACAGGAATTTTTTTTGTTAAAATAACAGAACTTAAATAAAAAGGTAAATGCCATTTTGAAACAGAAAAAAGTCAATAACTGTAGGGCATGCGCCTGTAATATAAGGAAACATTCCTTGAAATAAAAAAAAAAAAAAAAAAAACCACACAAACACCACACGCTCACATATTATATATCATGATATTCACTAGAATATCAAAGTAATGAAATACACGGTTGCGTTTGATTATTTCCTTTGAGAATAAAAAGAGACGTGGGAGATACTTCAATACGACCTCACCGACACTAAAAACCAAAAGCCATCTAGAGATCAGACGTTCAACCCACAAATGAACGTTCTAGTTTGATCTAGACGTTGTTATATGATTTTCAATGAAGCTTGACAAAAATTAAAAAAATGTCGAAATATTTGGTTACCACTTTACCATTTCTTTTTTTTTGTACTGCTAACGTCATAGTATGTAACATTAACATGAAAAACAGAACTGGAAGACATGATCCGGTACAATTGCCAATACATCACAGTACATAGTTTTAAATCAGATAAATAGAAAACCTGACATTCAAAACACTTCGAATAACCAAATGAAACATTTCATATTTTAACTATTTCCCAATTTTTATGAAATTAAAGATGGCCGTTTGTTTTGATCAGTTATTCCCGCGAGGTTATTTGCCATCATTTAAATATGCAACATGAAAAGATGTCCTTGTATTATCATTATTTCTACAAACCGATTATAATCAAAGAATTGAAATTAACAGTTTAATGACATAATGAAGCAGGAAAAGTTAATAACTAGTTGAGGCACTAGTAATATATGAAAGCCTTATTCGAGTCTTAAGAACAAAAGCCACACTCACACGCCCACACATCCAAATATTGTATTCGATGATATTGACTTGAATATCATGGTAATGAATTATACGGTTGAATATGATTGAACCCTTCGTTATAAGAGCGAACACATGCAGAAATTAATTACAAATTGACAAAAAAATATCAGGTGCCGTAAGCTTCTTTTTTCAACGATTTCAAAGATTCATTTCTATCAATACACTTGTTAATCATCTGCATATATGCAGTTATGTTTATCGGTTTACTGTAATGATTGAATATCAATGAATGGACGAAGAGTATATGCACATATTTCAAATTCAGTCTTTGATTAATAACCTTTTTTTTTGTTGATTTCTTTATAAATTTGCCTCATATCCTGTTTAGATGCTAATTTGAAGAAAAAAAAAATGACAAATTTAACAAATGAAATTTTCACATAAATTCCCCTTCTTTGTTGTTATATATTGTAATATAATGATCTAATAACTATGTCTGTAGATGTGAATAGGGTTTTTAATTTGAAATAAAAGAATAGACATAACGACATTTTAACCTAATACATAAAGTGTAGATATGTGCTTTGGGAGATTGTATGTCTTTTATTTTATCATTGCATATCATCTTTAAATAGCACCATTATTTCATGTCTATGAATATGTTAAAAAAGTGCGAAACAGATAAATACGAAACGTTTTAATCTGCTATTTGACATTAATTGCTCATTAAAGATATGCAGTTGCGAGCAACTTTATAGCGATGCATTGATTTAGAGTTTGGATCTTCTACAATAAATACACGGCTTTCTAAACATACATTTCAAAAGTGTCGCTGCTTCATTACGAAATTTGATATCCATAAAAGCATATATTATTGGGTTCACAATGTTATTGATTATACACATATTGTACAAAAACAGCACAACTGGTCTCTGTAAGATTGACAGCTGTTCCCAAAAATCTTCGTACATCCCTTCAAGAAGTAAGATTGTCACTTTTGGTAGAAAACAAAGTAAAAATACTAAAGTCATAGCTATAAACATAATTGTGAGTTTATGGCTAACACGGCGATTATGCTTTCTTCGTTTCTTGGATGCAGTTGCATTTTATTCTCTACCATTGGACGTTTGATGTACTGTTGTTCGTCATACTTATCTGGTGAAATATTTGATATTTTATCTGTTATGGTTGACATCTCGTCATCTCGAACTTCTCTACTTACGCCTTCAAAATTTGTTTCGATATTTTCTTTACTTCTCTTAAAGCGTTTTTTCATTTCGAGGTTACGAAAAACTGTATATCCTATTCTGCCATGAAATATGGTAAATGTTGTTACTATAACAAAAACTAACACGCAAGCCACATTTGCGTGTAAATTTCTCATGAAAGCATATCCTTCTTCCAATCTCCAACATCTCATTCCTGATATTCCATACCTGATGTTGTGATAAGGAACAGAACCATACACAAATGGTAACGGTATAGCGTAAAGTACAGAAATGACATTTGTAAGTACCAATGAAATTCGTTTGCTTAAAATCGACATAGGTTGATAGGTTGTTTAAAAGGGAAACATATTTTGAACGATACATAGCTGGATCATCAAAATGTTCGACCAAACATCTTTCTAAAGTACTGACTACTATACTTTCTACAGTAAAAGATGGCCTTCAAAAATATTGTGATGAGATATATTCTACCAGTGGTGTTAACCAGATGTGGATTCTCAAAAATTCGAAAGATCTACTGCTTAATCTTCGATCACAATCTTTGCAATTTTGCAGCAACATAAAGACTTTTGAATTTTCTACGCTTTACACTACTATTCCCCATGCTCAGTTGAAAGATCGACTTCACAATCTCATTAAACACAGCTTTTTCAATAAAAATTGGAATCGTAGATACAAATTTCTTGTTTTGGGTTATAATAATTCTTATTTTGTGAAAAATCACACTGAATCTACCAGAAAATATACTGAAGATTTGTTGAGTTTGGAGGATTGATATTTCAACAGACAGTCGCTATTCCAATGGGTACTAATTGTGCACCCCTTCTGGCCGATTTGTTTTTGTACTCGTATGAAGCAAAATTGATTCAGAACCTTCTAAAAGACAAAAAGAAAAAGCACCTTCCGAAATTCTTTAATTTTACTTTCAGATATATTGATGATCTCCTATCATTGAATAACCCATATTTCAGCCAATACTTACATCTCATATATCCCAGTGAACTTGAAATTAAGGATACTACTGATACTAGAAGTACTGCTTCATACCTTGATCTTTTCCTCAATATTGACACAGATGGACGACTTCACTCTAAAATCTATGACAAACGCAACGATTTCAACTCCGCAATTATCAATTTCCCATTTCTCAGCAGTAACATACCCTCTGTCCCTTCGTATGGTGCTTATATATCTCAGTTGATACGTTATGCTCGTGCATGTTCACCCTATACGGACTTCATATACAGGAGTGTGCTCCTTACGCAGAAACTGCTCCAACAAAGTTATGAGGAGGAAAGATTAAAAATTACACTCCGTAAATTTTATGGAAACCATCACGAATTGGTTGATCCATACGATGTGTCTTTGTCCAAACTAACTAAGGAAATTTTTACCACGTCTTAGATTGTAGTTTGCCATTACGTCGTCTGATCTTTTAAGTACCGAACGTGACATATTCCCGATTGTTATTGTTTTGCTGAGTGTAAATTCGCATTGCTATTAGACGTGTCACGGTATTTTGCTATCCAAAATTCTTGTATTTAGTTTTGATGTTATATTTGTTATTGTCAAATGTCTTATCGTTTGCATTTTGTAATTCTTACTTTTTTCTGTTCTATTCGTGTGTGATGGTAAAGATAATTTATCACTCAGTTCATTTATAAGATTTTAGTTTGGGTCAACTAAAATTAAACTATGTATTTGGTTTTCAGTTTGAATTAGAAGAAAATACCGACATAGCTAGATAATACAATTAATTATCTAATTACTTACACAATTTTATATTAACAAGTATCGTAATTTTCATTGTTATTAAAAACATGTAATATCAGTGTTACAAACCTAATCTTGAACTCTATCCCATTTTTTGGAAATTTTTAGAAATTTATCTGTGACGTCACTTTTGTGCGTCGATCTATTCGGCTGACATACAATGCGTTGTTCGGTTGTGCTGTTTTTATGTGCTGATCTAGGTTGTTTTACGTATTCGTTTTTATTCTGTAGTTAATCACCACTTCGGTGTTAACATGTATATCAATTATATGGTCATTTTTATATTTTATAAATTTACTGCTTGCAAAAATATGAATTATTCTAAATACTAAATACTTTCTTATCCCAGGAAGATAACTTAGCCGTATTTGGCACAACTTTGTGGAATTTTGGGTCATCAATGCTCTTCATCTTTAGGCCTGGCACCTTTGATAGCTATTAGCTTGTCGTAATGTTCTATTGTATTGTTTATTTATGTGTTTCTCTGTCCTGTATGTTCTTCCATTTTTTTGTATTGTAGTCCTGTCATGTAATGTTGTCATTTTTGTGTTATATTTAACATTGCCATTAAAGCGGGAGGTTTGGCTAGCCACAAAACCAGGTTCAATCCACCATTTTGTCTTAAAATGTCCTGTACCAAGTCAGGAAAATGGCTATTGTTATCTTATAGTTCGTTTCTGTGTGTTTTGCATTTTAGTGTTTCTGTTGTGTCTTTGTTCTCCTCTTATATTTGATGTGTTTCCCTCAGTTTTAGTTTGTAACCTGGATGTGTTTTTTGTCAATCGATTTATGAAATATCTCTCTTCTGATGGCTCCTTTATCTGAAACCAATACACCAACAAAACAATGAAGTTTCCACATATTCCAAGAACGCGTTAGACAGAAAGTACGGTGATGTTTGGTGTCAAGCTTGTTGTTATTTCATTATTCCATTCCGAAAATGTAATATTACTTCAAGTATTGCTAGTATTCATATCTAAACATCGGTGATATACTCAAAATTATAATTCATTTTATATCAACATATTTATTGAT